TACAATGTTGATGATTCTCCAGGTTTTCAAATATATATTTTCTTTAACAAGACAAGCTTTTCATCTTTCTTACTTGATATGTATTTCTAGCATAAAGACATGCATGACGAATTTTCAACCTTAGCGACAAAAATTGTACAGCAAGTTGATAAACAATTTGTAAACCGTTGCTTTCAAAAAAAAAAACAAATTGTAAACCGTTACTCTCACTCCGATTCAGATTCTTAGAAGATCACAAATAGACCTCCACCTTTGGTTTACCACAAAGATTTAAAGCTTCTGTTATCCTTTAAACTCTTTGAGAGCTCTCTTTTGTTTTTAAAACAATTGGCACCTAGTGGAAAAATTATTCTAAAGAAAACAAATTTGGTCAAAATGAATTTACAAATAAAAATGATTTAATTGTGTCAATAATACTTAACATATAAATGGATACATTATATATGTGCACAGAGAAAGAGATATTTATATATGTAATTGTAATATAATGATGATATATTATTCAAACCTAAAAGATAAATGAATTACATGATCAACAAAAAACAAAAGATAAGTTAAAACGGGGATTTTGAGTCTTTTTTTTTTTTTTTTTTTTTGAAAAAGACAACTTTGAGTCTTGCTTAGAATAAACGTAAAGAAGATGAGTCGAAAAAAAAAATGAGTCGTAGACTCGTAGTCCGTTATGGGTATATATTGTATAACCTCTTTAAATTAATAATCTATAAATTAATATAATTTCATAGTCTCAAACTGAATTTTTAGTTCAATTAATATCTCGATAAATTAATAATTTCTATAAATTAATAAAAAATTTAGTTTTGGTGTAGTCCCATTATTATTAATTTATAGAGGTTTCACTGTATATTATGGGATCACTTTTAGTTAGGACAGTAGTAATCACGCCAAACTCGTGCATTAAATCAACTTACGAAGTGAATGTGGGACCTTATGGTCAACCAAACGGCAAACGCAGCTGTCTCACAAACGCCAAACTATACTCAGTGCCGTGCGAGCACTTTAGGAAGCCTAAGGCGAATTTATAAAAATAATTTTTAATACAATAATAGTTTAAGTTTTATAAAACATGCTTTGTGTGATAAACCTATAGATAAAGTCTCCTATATAAAAGTTATTTTTCTTCATACACAAATTTTCTTATAAATTAAAAAAAATTAAAAAAAATTAAAAAAAATTAAAAAAATATTGGCATAAAAACATAAATTGTAAGAAGTTATAATATATCAAAATAGCAAAATTTTAATGATACCAAAGATGAGAGTCAAATTAACATACATAGACATAACTAGAAGAACGCTATAACCACTATGCCTTAAATTATTTGTTGTATTTTGTGGGCCTAAGGCAAATACCTTTTTGATAACACCATACACACGGTTCTGACTATACTAAACAAATTCAGAGACGCGCTTTATTGAGCCATCCACGATTCCCGTTACAAACCTACCTGGACCAGGCCTCGCCTTCAATTGCCAAATATAGCTACATTTGACGAAGCTAATAATCTATCCTATTAAAACACAAGGCCTTTTTTTTTTTTTTTTTTTTTTTAAAACACAAGGCCTTTTTTTGAGGTACCCTTGGTTTTCAATATTAATTACAACCAAATGCCACTACATTATGTTTTAATCTATGTTTTATATTAAAGTGATTTTTTAAATTAAAAATATAAAAATGTTTCCCACTTATTGTGCTAACAAATGTAATCTCTTATTTATCTTTATAATATTATACTATTGCAGATAAAAAGATTCGAATATTAACCGCGCCACAACCTATGTTATCACTTGTACTACATTTTTCTTTACACGATATTTAGGAGTGAAAGCTGTTATTTATACATTTATAGCATATTTGAACCACCAAACTATTTAATTTTATAAGAATTTTCTTAACAATAATAACATAGGCTGTGGCAATGATTTATCAATAAATGATCGACTAAAAGAATATGGTAACAAATTTAAATAATGCCTTAAACATGATGCATTATTTTCATTAACCTTGATATACAATATGAATCAATTTGTTTTTCTTTGAATAATAACATATTATTGATAGTAAATCATGTTAATCTATTATTAAAATTATCATGATAGTCCTGAATAATTTATGTCACCCGATACATATTTGATGTTGAACATTAATAAAATTCACATATATATTTTTTATCCAATACATATTTATGTATAATAGTTCATATGTCACTCGATACATATTTATGTCATCCCACGTATAATAGTTCAAATCTTTCACACATCAAATTCATATATATATATATATATATATATTTAAAGCGGTTTATATATGCATCATTATATTTTAAATATTGAACAACTTCATATCAAATAACAACAACAATATAATCTAAATTTGTGTTAGTATATCCAAGAATATGCTTTTATTATGCTTTTTAATTTATATTGACATAAATATTTAGAATTTCCAACAACTAAATTCAATACTATTAAAACTGAAGAGCCTTTTTTGAGGAACCCTTGAAGTTTTCAAATATTTACCATGTTTTGCCATTGAATTATTTTTAAGCTATATTTTTATTTAAATGCTTTTTTCGTTTTTGGTAATTCATAAATTAAACCATCTCCTAATTAATTGAGCTATTTTTACTTCTTTTGATATTTTATCATATGTATTCATAATTTAAATATATCTTTATTTTCATGGTTATATGAATTAAAATATTTATATAAAAGATTTTAAGTGTCTTTCTCTTTTGAAAGTATTTACAGCTATGTCATTTGATAATNCATAATTTAAATATATCTTTATTTTCATGGTTATATGAATTAAAATATTTATATAAAAGATTTTAAGTGTCTTTCTCTTTTGAAAGTATTTACAGCTATGTCATTTGATAATAATATTTAGCATGATTTTTTAATTAGAAATATGAAATATTTATATATAAATATTATAGAAGGTTATTTCGTATTTTATAAATTAAAACGAGTTAGTATTCATTTCATATTATATTTTATAATTTAATATTATATACGAGTTTTATTACTAAAATAATATTAAACCAATAAATATTTATATTTTAAATAAAAGATATTAAAAGATATTGTTAAAATGTGATCTTAGGAAAATATTTAACACTACAAGAAAACATCAATTTAGAGACTATTCTTGCAACTACAACTTGTGGTTACAAAATTGTGTGACAAACTTCAAACTAATTTGCAACTATTTTACAATTACAAAAGACAAGTCATATATTAGTTGCAAATATGCAACCACAAACGATGATGGTATTTAAGTTGCTTTTTTGACACACATTTGTGACGTTTTCGTAACTAAGTCAATGTAGTCGCAATACAGTATCACTATTATGACCAATTTACAACTACATATGTAATTGCGAACATGTAGTTATAAATTAGCCACAAATTATACAAAACTAGTAGTTGCAAAATAGTAAATGTGTGTTTGCAATGATTCTGTGACTACATAATTTAGTTAACAGCGAACAGATCACAAATTAGTTGTAAATTTTCATACATATCTATAAAAAAAAGATACTTATAATATTTAGAATGATACATGTAAATCAATGGCTACTTTTTCATGTAATTGACGTAAAATTTATGTTGAAGTTTAGTTCCAAGGTTAATATAATAATTTTGTATCTTTTTTGCAACTCTTATATTTGTTGTAGTTGCAATGTAGTAGTAAATAGCAACATTGCTTACAATTATAAAATATTCATATGCATTATTCTGTATTATTTACCATTTCTTAATAATATTACTATATCTTGAATAAATTTAAATCCTTTTAAAAAATGGATATGACCACACATCTAACACATATACATTAATTTCGTGAGTTTCATTTTAATTTAGATTATAAAGTTTAAAATCATTTTATGTAATGTCTCATAACTTAGTATATATCTTGTATATATATAAATTATTTTGAAGCTAGATTATTATAATTAAGTTATTTTGGGGTTTAGGGTAAAGTTTCACTGTTTTTTTTGTAGTAGTTGCAAGTCAGTTGCAATATTGCGCACTTGTTTACATATACAGTTATTTTGTAACTCATTTGCAACTCTTAGATGTACTGTAGTAGTTGTAACCAAATGACTACTATAAACATTTGTAACTAATTCTTGACCACTGGTATTTATTTTCAGCCATAGTTACACTGGAGTATCAATATATAATCTCAAAAGAATATTAAGTTTCAAATATATAGTCATTTAGATTAAAAACTCAATCAAATTATTTTACATCAAGGAGTTTTTAAGTCTGTCTTCATTAAGTGTATAATCATATATCTTCTTTTACATATAATTTTGAAAATAAAAATGATATGTAGTGTTTAAGGTATCAATAGCTGCTAAAATGAAACTGTAAGACACAATAAAGTTGCAAATTAGTCACAAGTAATAACAAATGTTGCTACTACTTTGCCACGGCAATCAAATTGTTTTTTTATAATTAACCAAATATATTATTTTCTAAATTGTTTTACAATTAATCATTCATAAATTATAATATAAGACATTCAAATGGTTATATCTTGTAGAAAATAGAACAAATAATATAATTTAGATATATGCACATCTCACGAAACATATGTTATCTAAATGTAGTAGTACATTCATGTGTAATGATTTGGACTTGTGTTGAAAATTTTTCAACTAGATTATTCTACACAAATGGTTGTATACATATAGTGTCGTTTTAAAAATCAATGAAGTGATATTTAATGTTTAGGGTATTGTTAGCTACTAATTTGCAACCATCTGCCCTCATGTAGTTGCACTTTAGTAGCATAATTTCGCTAATTCATTTTAAATAATAACTAGAAAGCTTACTTCTGATTGGTCAATTATCAAAGGGAAGGATTGGCTTTATCATTCCTCCACCGTTAAGATTTAGTAAATCTAACGGCCACAACTTAATCAGCTTTTCTTATCTTCCTTCCTCTTCTCTAATTTGTTCTATCATTTTCTCAGTCTGAACCTTTTTTCAATCTCTTCATCTTTTCTTGTTCTCTACTCTCTCCTCGTCACTTTCTTTTCTTTTTCTTTTTACCTCTTACATCTCTCTTTGTTTACTTTCTTTTCATCTTTTTATGCTATTTCTAATTGACTTTTGTTTTGTTTACAGATCTGAGAAGAAGGACCAGTAATGAAACGGGAAGGGGAAGTGGTGGTGTAACGGAGCATACGCGCTGGAGGTGGTGGTGGCGTAACGAATCGGAGAAACCGCAGATGCTGTATGTATCAGGCCAACACCGGTAGCTCCAGGACTAGATCGAGTCATCACTTCAGATGGAGCCACTCGGAATCGTCGCTTCAGATGGAAGCACTCCGAGTCATCGTGGTGCCGTTCAACCGGAGCCGGTGACGGAATCCGTGCCGCCGTTGCTGAACCCATAGAGATGACGATGGTGTATTTGTGTATATATATGTGTAATTTTACTTTTAGATTAAATTATAATATTTAAAATTTAGTTCCGAAATTAATATTTAAATTAAACAAATTTTAATTTAAAATTAATTATTAATTTTATTAGTTGAGGGTTCAAATTAATAGTTTATTAATCATTAAATTTGCAATTTAATTATTAGTATAAATATAAATATCGTGGTTGCTAAATAGTCATAAACCTTTGTGACTAGTTTGTAACCCAATATAAACATTGTAGTCACCAATTAGTTACGAAAGTTAGCAACTAACTTACAACCAAATTAGACAAGAGACTAATTAGCAACTATATTTTGTGACTAATGCGAGACGAAAAGTTTGGTCTTAAATTTTTGTGCAACTAGAACATCAATCACAAATTAGTCGCCAATATACAACCATTTATATAGTCTCATTCCAGTCGCTATTTTGCAACTAACTTGCAATTAATTATATTTGCGACGAGCTTTTTCTAACTACACACAGTAGTTGCAAAATAGTTACATTTCCGAAATTTGCATCTAATTTATAACTATTCTTGTAGTTGCAAAATTGATGTTTTCTTGTAGTGTAAGAATATCTTTTTGATATCTTATTTTGAAAATATTTAAATATTGTGTTAAGATCATGTGTTTATTTAATAATAAATAAGTTTGTTGTATTCGAAATTATAAAAATTAAAGAAATGAAATGGTCCAACTTAGATTACTTGTGAGTACATAAATAGTTATTTTGTATTAATAGTATTGATTTACATTTTTTTATGAATTTGTGTATCGTTAAGTTGTAATGGTCGAGATATATGAAAATAATTTATACCAATGTTTTATTTCTCGACATGAAATATTGATGTTACTATATGTTAGTAAAAATAATTAAACTAAACATATTGTTCCTTAAATTTAAGGGGGAAAAAACTAATTGCTTAAATTTATGCTTATTTATAACTTGAAAGACACAGATATGTAAATGAGTTTTAATTCTTAAGGTTAATTTTAAATTTTACTTCTATTTTAATAGTTTAGATTGTTAATGATACATATATTAATATGAATATGATTTGTAAAAGATTATGTATTCGTGACAGACATATTCAAATAACTAGCAGAAAATAATAGTTTTTATCTAAAATTTGTTACATAAATATATCGGACTTTTTTCTATATTATTTTGAGTTTGTTTGGGATAATAAGAGAAACGTTGATCCTTCTAATATATATTTTGTGGACGTCTAAAGTTTTAGGTTTATACAATTATAATATCATCAGTAAGTGGTAACATTTAACTTCTAATTAGTCATCCCTTTTGTCATACGCTCTAACTATATTTGAGGTTTTCTGAAGTTTATTTCTTACCTTAGCTTTTTTAAAACAGAATATTATAAAATTAAAAATTCAGTAGATATTCATTAATTTTTATTTATAAATTTAGATGTTAAATTAAGATATTAAAATTATTAATATATATTTAAGTGGATAAAAATTAAAACTATAATATTAATATCATTTGTTGTATAAATGATCGGGTTACAGATGATATTTTACGACTATTGTTTCTATCGTTTTTCTATTAAATAAATAAAATATTTCATTAGGAGATGGAATGTATAATGGTTTAACCTATTCAGTTATAAAGTGATAAATTGAACTTTGACTAATGTAGAACGGGTGCCATTACTTGATTTGCTAAGCATTTAGAATAGTGTTATTTTTTGACAACTACTATTTAATTTTATATAACAAATTATGAAACTATAATTTAGGTAGGTGAAATCTAATATTTGGGGCAATTAATTTTGTCAATTTACAAACAATAAAAAATATTTAATGAAGAAAAAAATCTTTTAAAAGCACAATTGCACAAAAGTGATATTATAAAATATTTTGAGATTAAAAATAAGAATGAATATTTTAATAACATAGGTATTAAAAACAGATAAGAAAACTAATTAGAAAGTTAGTTTTGAAAATATTATCCAAATAAGAAAATCAAACTCGAACCAAAACGAAAAAAACTAAAACCAAAACCATACNACAATTGCACAAAAGTGATATTATAAAATATTTTGAGATTAAAAATAAGAATGAATATTTTAATAACATAGGTATTAAAAACAGATAAGAAAACTAATTAGAAAGTTAGTTTTGAAAATATTATCCAAATAAGAAAATCAAACTCGAACCAAAACGAAAAAAACTAAAACCAAAACCATACCAAAATTTTGAAAAACCCAAATAATTACTATTTCTCAGATCCTAAAACCAAAACTAAGATCAGAATCGAACCGATAACCTAACAAGTATCCAAATATTTGAAATATAAAATATTAATTATCAAAGTATATACTATAATTTATATATTATGATATACAAAATCTTTAATTACCTAAACTACCTTTTTTGTATTTCCAGGGTTAATTTGATTTTTCAAAGTTTTTGGAGATTTATGGCTTTAAACATGACTCAACTATTTATAATTTGGTTTCATTTCGGGTTTTACAAAAAAAATATAAATGCAAACCGAATTCGACATTACTCGAACTGAACTTATCCAGAAAATATATGGTTCTTGCACGGGTTATAAACACCCAAACGCGAATAACTCGGAAAAATATAAATGCAAACCCAATCTAACATTACTCAAACTAAACCGATCCAAAAAATGTAACGGTACATAAACACCCAACATAAATTACGATAAGACAACAATATAAATTACTTTTAATTATATACGTCAAAACTCAATAGCGACATACAATATATATTTTAATTTACAAATAGTCCTACGGAAAATCGTTTTTAAAAGATATAAATCCACAATATATATCGACTTTCATATTTCTGTTTTTTAAAAGCAATTTTTATTTTCTTTTTTAAAAAACAACTTCCATATTTTTCTGTACAAATCGTATAAAAAGGGATACTAGACGAAAAAATGAAACAAAAACTGAACCAGTGCTCACAATATCTAAACAACTCTTATATAAACTGAAACAAAATTGGAACCAAACTATCCAAAATACAGTTTATATACCCAAAAATATAAATAATATTTAGTTTTAAAATTATCAATACTCTAAAAGCACTACTTNTCACAATATCTAAACAACTCTTATATAAACTGAAACAAAATTGGAACCAAACTATCCAAAATACAGTTTATATACCCAAAAATATAAATAATATTTAGTTTTAAAATTATCAATACTCTAAAAGCACTACTTATAAACTGAACTACCCACAAAGCAGGTTTTTCCTATTTATTTTTATCCAAAATGTTTTAATTATCCTGATTTGCTATAAACATGAATATATTTTGTCAAAAAAAATTTAAATTTATTTACTTTATCTGATATTTATACCAAAATCATACTTATATGGTTTTTTATTTGAATTATTCAAAATTATCCAAAAATGGGAACCATAATTGAAATGAACTCAAAATTTATTGGATTTATAACATTGTATTCTGAACCAAACCAAAAACAAAAATAACCAAATTCGAATTCATAATAACTGAATGGTACCTATCTATACTATTAAGATAAAATACCTGTTTTTGAGGTCCCCTTAATTTACTTTAGTATTTACAGATTTTGCCACATCTATATTCATGGTAAACCATTTTAATTATTATTTTTAGCTGAAAATACAATAAATTCAGAGGTTGATGGTTAAATACCACTTCTAATCAACTTCTGCAGCATAAATAATGAGATTAAAACATGATCAAGTTATTATTTTTAGTAAACATCATCAACTGGTCTTTACTCAGTGGTCTTACAAAAGAAGCACAAACATACACTTGGGAAACCGAGGATCTTCAGGTATACCATTTAACTTGGACCCTAACATCTCGGCGACATATTACATCCTAGCAAGACGACATATTACATCCTAGCAGGCGTAGATTAATAAAATTCACAAATCACAAAAATCTATGTTTATGGAATTTAGGAAAGATTTTAATCTATATATGTTGGATTAAACCATAATTATTTTCGACCATCTATCTGAACCCGGATACTCATGCCTATAAATACTTGTGAATAATCTAACATCATAAATTTAAAGCAAAAACGGTTGTCCCGCCCTCTATAAGGGCGGGTCAAAATCTAGTCTATATTATTAAAATTGAAGTACCTTTTGGTACTGTTTGGAAATAAGGATAGCAAAATAAATGAAACATTGTTTGGAAATTTGGATAGTAGATTAAATATTTTATTTTATTTGTACATTAAGTTATTGTATTTACAATAAATTAAATACTTTCTTTTGTATTTCTTTTTATTTACAGATTATATCAATGCATTTAAAATCAGTTTAAGTTAATTAATTTCAATGATTTTTCTTTCTCTGTGATGAAAATAAAAACAAAAACCGAGATATATAGTATACATTATATAAAATAATTTTTAAATATAATATTACCTTATTTTATTTAGTCAAATATAAAATTGTGTGAGTTCAATTTAAAAAAAAATATTATAAAATTAATGATAATTCATAAAAAACTAATTCAAAAAAAAAATTTTAGTATGTTGTTTTATTTTAAAATAAATTAACAAAAAAAACAACATGTTAGTATATGAATAGTACGATTACATCAAATTGCATCAAGTTATAAAATTTCTAATATACTACTATGTAAAACTAAAAATTATTATTAAATATTTATATTATAAAATAATATATTTTACTTTATATGTAAATTACAAAACATAAAAATTTTTTTGTAAAAAACCAACGGTTTACAAATTTACGTTAAACACAAGTTAAATCAAAGATCCGCACGGGGGTTCGGATCAAGTTATAGTTAAGAGTTATGCTTTTCGTCTGCGTAGTTTTTTTTTTAACTGAATTTCGTCTGCGTGTGTTTCAGCGATATATGATAAACATAGAGCGTATGATATTTATTTTGTCAAAAAATATTGTTTCAAATGAATATTCCAAATATATACAGCTGAAGAAGTCTTTGTTAAAACCTTAACCAAAAAAAGAAAAAAAAGTCTTTGTTAAACCTAAAACCGGTGATCGAGTTTATAGATCAAACAA